CCCACCACCACCCCCCCCCCAACCTCACCCCCCCCCCCCACCTACGCGCAGACACGACACATCGCGACCACCACATGGGCTCTCCCGAAGGACGTACGCGAATCCGCGGCGCGCCAACACGCAGAACAGACTGGCGGCGAAACGTCCTTCGGCGAATGATTCGCCGGCTCCCAGTCCGTCAAGGGGCGTGGCCGCGGCAGCAGCTGGCATTAGCAACTGAACCCCCCCCCCCCCCCACGGTGATCGCTGTCGTATGCTCGTCCAGATCAGTGAGAGGGGCCGGCTGGCCACGACCTGCGGCTGTACCGAAACAAACGAGAACCCTCACCTCATCCACATCCACACCGGTCACCCCTTCAGACGATCCCGGCGATCCGCGGAAGCCAAGCGGCAGCGCGAGCGGGCCAAAGAAGACGGGGCGGAGGTACGGGAACAGGGTGAATAGTACACTTCGAGAATGAAGGAGTGGACGATGATACGATCTAACCCCCCCCCGCCCACCCCCCCCCCCATACGAAATTTCACAGCGCAGAGTATCTCCAATAGTCGATTATGACACACACCACCTCTCATCTCCCTCCGCAACCATTACATCCACTGCCACTTAGACCAGGCCATCCTGAGCTACTGAGATGTTTGGAGGGAATATGCACACCTAATATCGTTTTCAACGACTCAGAGCCAGGACGGAGCCGTCAGTCACCCTGCATACCATATCTAAGCACTCTGTTCCGACATCTCCGCACGAACAAGTGAAGGAGATATCAACCTCTCTGTCGAATGGACAGGAGTCGTTGTTGCAGCACATGTTCTACGTCCTGAATTGAGATGAATGCATGAGAGACATCGACCAAAATCGACCAAAGTAGCGAGGAATGTGAGAGGTGTGGGGGTGAGTTGGATGTGGCCTAAGGTGAAAGGAGTCGGGGGGGTTGTGGTTGAGAGATCAATAAAATAGGGTGTAGGTACAGCTAGTGCGCTCGCGTGCAACGTGACCGAGGAAAGAAGCATACAAGGGAGGGCCCTATGGTTGAGCGTAAAACCACGAAGAACAAAACATGTGCCAAATAATGAGTGAGGGAGAGGAGACAATGAAGGGCCAGTTCATTCATTACTCCTAGGTACGCAGACTAAGCAAACTATGGGAAAGTTGCTAATCATAAGGGCGGAGTTGCGATATATACTTGAGTGCCTTTCACATTAATACAACTAACCCCAGAAAAGGGCTCACCTTACACCCTATACAACGAACATAATAGAATAACAAGTCAATCACTACAATTTAAAAGCTATCTGAGGCTTAGCTTATATGATGATGTGCCTCAGACCAGGAACCAGTTGCGACGGAGGAGAAGTATACATACAATAGGGCTAGCTCGACTGAGAGCTGTGGTACATTGTTGGCCAAGAGGTGAATCGTGCTAGCAGTCTTGGTGCCTTCCCTCGCTCCACATCGTACTTCAACTGCAAAGAGGTAAAATCTTGCAAGGGATTCTATCGTAGGCAGCGCCCTAGTACTACAATTTTTAACGCAGGTGCTGCAGACCCCTACATAGAAGCTAGAGTTGGCTGACAGAGCAGATGTCAACAAAGCAGAGCGATGCCGGCAACCTCGGTGATAGTAGACATAGTTTAACCTACGTTCCCTGGCGCGTTTCCGCGCTGAGAGAGGAGAGAGGGAATGCTTTGTACACACTCACATGCCAAGCGAACATTTAGGAATCGCGTACGTCACAGACATATGCCGTGTGTGTGTTTTTGTCAGTAAACCACCACACGCGTGGCGCGAGACCCGTCCCCACTGCCGACACAGTCCGTGTTCGACTGCGTCGATAGATAGAATCTGTTTGTGATCTGTCTGAGATGAGTATGAAGATTATGTACCACCAACCATGTTCAATTTTGATAGCTACTTCTTCATGCTTAGACAGGGGCAGTAAGCATGCAGAAAGTGTTTACCTTGAGGAATCTCAGGTAAGCTGGACGAAAGTCTTGCCCTCATAGCATAATAGAGATCTTTTCAATTAATGCACGTCCTATAAAACACACAAAGTGCTGGCTCATTCGGCGTTCATTTCCGCTGGTCTGATACTAATGCTAAAAAGAACTGGTACATCTCTTAGTTCGTTCTCAACTCTCTCCGGTTCACAGATTGGATGAGCCCCATCACGTCAAAAGTATATTATGTGGATGGAACGAATCCCGCGAGTGCTACAAACGTATATCTAGCATCCGACTATAGTCAGATGACAATCATCGCGTCCTGTCACTTAGACTCTCCCGCTCGTATGCAACATTAGAGCCGACTATGACATTATGTGCCTGCCTCTATACCCAGATCCTTCTATACCTTTCCCTGCAGTCTTACGTACATGCTCAGAGGCAATACACGAGTCGTCAACCACCTGAAGCTGGGATGCATGACCCTCATGTAAATGCAACGTTACACGTCACTATGTATTCAACAACTTCCACGGGACTCTGGAAAACTTATACCTTTTATCTTACCATCGGATTCAAGTCTTGAAGCATTTGGGCACATTTGCATACTCATTTCTAATGACAAAACTCCATGCACATTTCACTATAATCTATCTATGCCATGTTCTAGTGTGTGTTTGTTCATCAATTACTCTAAAGCACTCCTGTTAGTGTCCATACAGTACAAGTCACACAAGTCTGTATGCTGTCCTGTTTTGTAATTTTTAATGTCCGCTCTTCTTCAATGTATATACTAGTGAGCCAAGGGCAAAAAAGCAAAAAGGTGCATCAGCACTCGAAGGAGTTCAGCAAGCTTGCTCTGTTGCCACAAACCGCTTACACAGCACTTGAACTTGTCGCGATGCCAGGCGTAGATCACGGCTAACTGACCTGCGAACCTATGCAAACACAGCTTTGCTCACTACGGCCTCCACCCCTTCTAAGCCTGCCAAACCCGTTATTTTTCAAAGCGAGTCTGCTGTGGGGATCTCAATAGTTGTGTGCATGTAGAGTGTGCCGGTGTCTATGAGCAAGGCAAGTTTAGACAGGTAGCGGTCACAAAGAGACTTGGTGTCTCCACGCACTGTGGCTGATCTCGATGAGAGGAGTGTTTAGACTGTGAACGATTCCTATTCCTCCTCGAAATGCGCATTCTAGTGATGTATTCTTTAAGTTCCCATCTTGCGACTTTGCTCAGCAGGGTCTGCGCAAACCTCCGTCATTGTTTAAACTTTCCCCACACTGTCAAATAGGTCCTACATGAGCTACAGTCCATGGTGATGGTGTTTGTTTCTATCAGTTTGCAGTATTATCAACAGCCTCCACGGCTACTGCGGAAGACGGTTCACTCACTCGGACGAAGCAACAACTCAGGATACATAATGGAAAGTAGAAGGACAGAAGAATGGTACACTTTCTACTGGTGCTCATTATACTGTCCATTCTTTCTACTGCTCATTATACTGACATTCTTTCTACTGCTCATTATACTGACATTCTTTCTACTGCTCATTATACTGTCCATTCTTTCTACTGCTCATTATACTGTCCATTCTTTATACTGCTCATGATACTGTCCATTCTTTCTACGCTCATTATACTGTCCATTCTTTCTACTGCTCATTCTACGTCCTTTTATTGCTGGCCCATCTACTATCTACTCTACTGCCATTGTGCTCATTCTACTGCCATCCATTCTACTGCTCATTCTACTGCAATTTTAATAGCTAAAGTTATCCGGTGTTTAGCTAAAGTTGTGCGACGATTGCTATAATCACACGAAAAAGGACACCCCACTATAATGGACAAAATGTTGTGGCTCTAAGTTGTCCGCCTTAGAGGGGTTCCACTGTATACGATCTCTTCTGCCTGTAAACTCTCTGCTTTCTTTGCTTTTTCAGGGATTCCTTTGCTGTTTTGTCTACAGCCACCTATAGATTAACACTCTCTCTGAAATTAACTCTCTCCGTCTTGACTGTAACTAAAGAAACGTTCGTGAAAGGACCGATGATGTCTAGTGGATTATGGGTTGAAAGTGTGAGATTCAACCAAGCATTCTGCGAGAACCCACCTCAACTGTAATCAGCTCAGTCATGTAACCCGCTGCCCTCCCAGCTTCCACCAGGTCCTGGTACTTCGCTTTTTTAAGCTCACAAGCTTTAGCCATGCGAGATTCGTAGCTGATCGTCAGCTCAAAGAGCCATAGCTTTCTCTGATGCTCACACCACCACACGATGTCAGGTCTTAAATTAGTTGGAGTGATGTGGTGGGGGAAGCTGTAGTTCCGTGTGGGGAGGTCGATGGTGACTGAGTAGTGAAGTGGTAGAGATGCCTCGATGAAGTCTCCAAATACCTTTAGGACACTGTCACGCCTCTCACTGTACCCCATCGCAACCTGGCAAGTGATGATAATGTGGAGAAGAGACTGCCGGTGCTCTTGGCACAGGATGCAGTTGTCCATAGTCTTCTTGCCCCACATATAACTCTCTCTCTCTGTCTGTCTTAAGCACGAGAAGGTTCCTGGGTCAACCAACACTCCAACAGCTCTATTATAATGACCTGTCACTGGCCAATAACTCCTGTAGACACTAAGGAGAGCCCTAGTGGTGGGCCTTTATCTATTGTAGAGCTCGCTCAAGTCTTTCAAACCAATTAGAATCAGAGCCCACTGGAATGACAGGAAGGCGATAGAAGAAGACTATCACGCTAAAATCTAAGCCAGCTAGGCTCTGTCGCTCGCTGGTTTAGATTTTAGCATGATCGTCTTCTTCTATCATCCTGCCATAGTTCATAGTGAATTGATCACTGTGTTAGACTTTGACATTATTCCCACTGCATACAGGCTTCAATAATATCTGAGCACATACACAGATAACAAGGCTGCAAATCAACTGTGATGAGCCCGAAGGTAAATTCCATGGTAGCCCACAAGATTGTGGATGTAGCAGTGTAATTATCTGCTCACACTGGTTCATGCATTACGCAACCTCGAGTATGTCACTTGTCTATGAAACTGAATTGTGTACAGATACATACTCAAGGTACAAGTGCAATAACAATGGAAAGGTCGGAAGTGCCAAATAAACTGCAAATAAGGCAGTAAATGAAGTACAACAACTGGAGACAAGGGTAGTGAGGGAGCCTGGAGACGAGGGGAGTGAGGTCGCAGTGGATGATGCGAGAGAGGAATAAAAGCGCCGTGCACAACTGCTGGGTAAACCTCCGAGTGAGGTTGAGAGAGACGCCGCGGAAGTCGGTGTTGCGGAGGAGTTTGTAGAGATGGTGGGAGAGGAGCTCAAAGACGAGACAGAGGTGGTTTTGGAACATGAAGTGGCGGCTTCCGTGTCGTAGCCCTTCACCACCTGTAGACAGTTAGAAGAAGGGGGGGGGGGAGTTGAGTAGTAAAGTTCAATTCTTGTGTGTCTTGTGTCAACATTGTGTTGTACGTATTAGTTAACGTATAGGCGGCGAGGCGGTACAGGAGATACTCCGAAGCTGTTGACTATACCGGACGAGGGCGTAGCCCGAGGCACGGTATAGTTAACAGCCGAGGAGGATTTCCTGTACCCGCCAAGACGCCTATACGTTAACTAATACTTGCAGTCCAACTTCAAACAACCCAGTGCTGAATTTCTGCTTTGTCATCTTGCACTAATGACTAATGACTGTTGTGTAAACTTTGGAAGCCAGACAATTTGCACTATGCCTAGCGTAGATGTTGTGATAAGGACTCTGTCCAATACTGATACTGGTGCAGCCCGCAGCCCACAGCTCAGAATACAGCGTATATTCCTAGCACCGGGTTGTTTGAAGTTGGACTACAAACGACAATAAAGTCTCCGTGCACAGTGCAAGTGGTAGCTTTATTGATGAGTATAGATGTAGTAAAGAATATATAAGTTGCGAGTGGTTCTACTGACTTGTCCAAAGGAGCCTTTCCAGAATAAGACACTCAATCTTGATCTTGCAGTATGTGAGCTGGCCACTGCCGGGGAGTGACTGGAGACTGGGACCTCCGCTGTCTCGCACCCAGCACCGTTCACCAGCTCAGCACAGCGAGCCATCAGCTGCTCCGAGGCATCTGGCAGCCTCAGTGATGGAAACCTGGAGACGAGGGGAGTGAGGTAGCTTGGAGACGAGGGGAGTGATGGAGGCCTGAAGACGAGGGGAGTGAGGGAGCCTGGAGACGAGGGGAGTGAGACGGCCTGGAGACGAGGGAGACCTGGTCCACAAGGTGTTGAATAGATGTAGATGTAGGTCGTGTGGACAGGCTTACAATCTGGAGACGAGGGGAGTGATGGAGGCCTGAAGACGAGGGGAGTGAGGGAGCCTGGAGACGAGGGGAGTGAGGGGGCCTGGAGACGAGGGGAGTGAGACGGCCTGGAGACGAGGGAGATGGTCCCAAGGTTGTGTAAGATGAGAGTAAATGTCGTGTGGACGGCTTACAATCTGAGACGAGGGGAATGATGGAGGCCTGAGGACGAGGGGAGTGAGGGAGCCTGGAGACGAGGGGAGTGAGGGGGCCTGGAGACGAGGGGAGTGAGACGGCCTGGAGACGAGGGAGACCTGGTCCACAAGGTTGTTGTAAGATGTAAGATGTAAAATGTCTTGTGGACTGGCTTACAATCTGGAGACGAGGGGAGTGGTGGAGACTGGGGGAGTGGGGGAGACTGGAGACGAGGGGAGTGAGGAGACAGAGGTGGAAGGGAAGAATGGAGAGTGCATTGATCCAGTTGGATCAATGCACTCCTACCATCAGCTCCCCTACGCTCTGCCCTATGCTCTCCTTTACTTCATTGAGCCCTGTCTCCAACTTCGTATTCAGCCTCTCCTCCATCTGCACCATCCTCTCCTCCATATGCACCATCCTCTCCATGATCCTCTGCTCCATCTCCATGATCCTCTGCTCCATCTTCGCCCTCTGAACATTGTGGGTGATCCTCTCCGGGTCGTCAGCCCTCCGTATCCCAGAGCCATGTGACCCGATTGATAGACCCCTCAACAATTTATCCGTGCTACTCAAAACTCTCTGCATGTGGTCCATGAATCGGACCAGGTGTTCCAGGCTCAGCGTCACATAGGAGTAATGTACGAGTTTGGTCTCTCCGCCCTTCTCCTTCGCTTCTATCACAGTGATATATTCGCGGTTCACAGTCAGACCTGGGAAATGGTTTGATCATAAACCCACCACAAAATGGCAAACACCCCCAACTTCAAAGGAACAGCAGGCAAAGGCTGTATTTAGTGCTGTAGGGCTGTCTCTGAAGTGGCTATCATTAACCCTCGGCGGCGCGCATGCGCAGGGAGGGTTACGGTAGTCTTTCTGTTTGTCTGTCTGTTTGTTACCACATTTTCTGCCACCACGCGCAACAAACAGGCCAAAAAGTGACACGAACGGGTTCAGCGCTACACTGGCTTCATTTTAAAACTGGCGATTTTTGTAAAAGTACCGCGTTCAAAGTTATGGCGTGAAAACCAAGTGAACAAGCCAATATGCAAATTAGCACGGGCTTACCTCGACAAGATGTGCTTGATCTGCGTACCTTGGAGGCACAAGACGTCACAACGAAGGGCATGCATCGACTCCCACATGCTATCTACTACTGTAGCTAGCCCGTGTCAGATTCTCCACGTGTTACTAGGAGTAAACACATACTACGGCCTAGCCCATCAATTAGCGGTATCGCGCAAGCGCAGTTCGCCGAGGGTTTGCACTTTAGTGCTTTTAATGAACAATGGTGGCTTGTGAACAATGATCATGCCTAAAAAAGGCAAGACATAGGTTTGAATGCCTAGTACATAATTATTATATGCCCAGACAGGAAAGCATTAGCCCTAACTGGATAGCATTCGCCATCAGAGTTCATGCAACAGATTTGTTGGATAGTACCTAGCTTCATACATCTCTAAGATTGCAGTATGGGCTATCTTCCTCTGGTTTCATCCGGTAAACAGCCTCGTAATATATCCTCTACCACCACGCCACCTATACCTTAACCATTACTTACCAAAGGGCCAGCTCCCTTGAATGCTCCTCCTTGCACTCATGGCGGCCAGCAGCTGCACCTCACCCTTTTCGTCGCCTCCCTTGATATCCCCTATAAGCCACCACACACCCTCACTCACCACCGCCACATCCACCACCCCCGACACCTTCTCACCATCCACCCCACACCAGTCGCTACGTGGGTCGTTGGTGGTCGACGTCCTGACATTCATCTCAATGTCGAGGATGGAGAATATGGCTGCAACGAACGACTTCCCTGCCCCATTTGACAAGAGGTTTATACCCTCCTTCTTCGTTGTGCGGAGGTGTCGAAATAGAGGTCGCAGAAGGGGTGGGACAGGGACGGACGGCTCCTTGGTGGACTTTGATGCATCATAGAAAAATGACGTGTATGTTGTGCAGAGTTCCCCCCAAACATCTTCAGAGGCCCCCTCAGTGATGTATTTGCGGAGGATGACGGAGGAGGGGATTGGTGAAAAACAAACGATAGGAACGCGCACGTGGCAGAATTTGGTCCGGTAGATGACTTCGATTTCACATTGCTTCATCTTTGAAAGATGAAACCGCCTCCCTCCGCCGACCGTCGAAGGGGTGACCAGTGGTGGGAAGACTTTCAGTAAGCCGCGGCCACGGCCAATTGACGGACTGGGACTCGGCGTACCCGCTAGAAAGGCGCGGCCGCGGCCGCTGCCACTTGACGGACTGGGACTCGGCGTCCACACAGGCAAGCTGCAGCCAAGGCACCTTGGCGGACCGCTGAAGGACGCATGCACTAGTATGTCTTCCAGCGTGCAGCGGCGGTGGCGTTTCCGAGGAGTCGCTTACGTCCTTCGAGGAGAGGCCATGTGTGTCTGCCGAGCTGGAGGAGCTAGTCTTTTGCACGTCGTCGTCAGACTGCTCACTCAACTCCGCTGGTCGTCTTCCCGCCATCCTAGTTTCAGATCAGATGTCGTAATGTACTAAACGCGACTGACTTCGAAAATTTAACAGAGGCAAAGAATATAATTTCCACTGATTGCTCTTTTAGAAATGAGGCTGATCAATGCCATTACAGCATGTGGTTCAGAATGTGTGGGAATGGCTAGGTCACTCATTCTTCAGCTCATACAGGGGGCCGATTTACATCACAACTGTGTCAAAGCTTGCAAGTTTTGCATAATTTAGTGCTGCATAAGCAAAACTAGTGTAGGAAAATTGTGACAATAAGGGGAATTTGCAATACATGTGTAGGAACTCTGGCACAGGTTGTCCACATCTTCGCAACCACTGTCATGTTTTACTGTCACAAACACACTCGGTGTCTTGTAACCACTACACCACAGCCCTGATCCGCACCTAGCTCTATCTTCACATGGAAAGGATGTAATTTCCACTGATTCCTCTTTTAGAAATATCGAATCTAAGGCTACAGTAAAATCACAGAGCATAGAGTGATGCAGTGAAATGGCACACTTACGGGATATCGTTGCAGAGTTGCAGAGAGATCGGCTAGGTTGTATACAAAGATTCAAACTTCTCCGCTACGTAACTAACTCACAACAGCTCCCCAGTGTGAGTGTTTCCTGCAAAGAGAGAGAGAGAGACAATAAAGAGAGAGTTACACAGGTGTGGTGTATATTGCATAAGCCATAGCTGGGATACTCTCTGATTGAAACAGCTATTGCATGGATCAACTGTAATATACGGACCAATAGCGCAACGCATTCTACGCGTGTTCTAGGGGCCTGTGGGGATCTAGGCTAGGTATAGGCAAGGGTGAGGAGCTAGGGCTAGGGGGTAGAGCTAAGGGGACATGCACAAAGCCCACGGAACGCAGGACTGGACCTGGTGTCTCCGTTCGGTTGTTTCCGTGTCTCTGTGATCACGTCGAGCGACAAGTGAGAGAAAGATGAAGATTTTGCTGTTGCTGCCAGCGCTGTCTGCAGTGTGCCTGGCAGCCGGCGACTACGTAAGAGTCCGGGCAGCCGGCGACTACGCAAGAGTCCCGGACTCTTACGTAGTCGCCGGCTGCCAGGCACACTGCAGACAGCTCTGCCAGCAACAGCAAAATCTGACTCTTACGTAGTCGCCGGCTGCCAGGCACACTGCAGTAGGCCTAAGCCAATTATGCTAAGAAACACACCAATTATTTAATTAGGTTAATCTAATGTAAATTGCCCATTATTTCAGCATTCACATCCTATTATTCATATTTTTAATGGAAATTATACTGCATCATATTCATCTTTTTAACGGATATTATATTGGCTCCACGTCCACGAGATCGACGCTTTCCCGTAGGCGGAGGGTTTCTATGGACCGCCCTCTTTCTCGCCAGGTCTGATGGCCTGGGAGCACGCAAGTGAGGCAAAAGTAAAGAAGGTTCTGAGAATGAGTCGCAACTGCCAGAGCAGACGCTCGATGTATCAGCAGCGGGTGTAACAGAGCTCGCAGATAGACACGCGGACGACGAGGAGAGTGTCGAGGGATCCGGATACTCCATTTCTGTATACACGGTTTACGGCGGGCTGGGTACACCCGGGTGCACCGGTTGTTCATGCACTAAGCATATGCGCATGCGTTAGATTGGACCGAAAATTCCCTAAAATTCGCGAATTATGCGAATCCTGGGAAGTTCCTATTATTCCAAGGATTATGCTAGCGTAATTGGCGCAGGCCTACACTGCAGACAGCGCTGCCAGCAACAGCAAAATCTGACTCTTACGTAGTCGCCGGCTGCCAGGCACACTGCAGACAGCGCTGCCAGCAACAGCAAAATCTGACTCTTACGTAGTCGCCGGCTGCCAGGCACACTGCAGACAGCGCTGCCAGCAACAGCAAAATCTGACTCTTACGTAGTCGCCGGCTGCCAGGCACACCGCAGACAGCGCTGCCAGCAACAGCAAAATCTCATCTTCTTCACTTGTCGCTCGACGTGATCACAGAGACACACCAGGTCCAGTCCTGCGTTCCGTGGGCTTTGTGCATGTCCCCTTAGCTCTACCCCCTAGCCCTAGATCCCCACAAGCCCCTAGAACACGCGTAGAATGCGTTGCGCTATTGGTCCGTATATTACAGTTGAACAAAATGTCACCACAGTCCGTAAGGCCCTGAATTTAGTATCTGTTACAGTACTTTAGTAACTCACACGTCTTTTCACCAGTCGAACTGTCGGCAGAGCGAAGGGGCCCATGTCTTTTATAGTAGGCAAAAAACTGGTTTTACAGGTAGGAAACTGGTATTACCATGTCCCAATGTTTAGTTATGCACTGAAGTGCAAACCCTCGGCGTACTGTGACGCGCACGCGTAAGTAAACGCATGCGCAGTACTACTGAAACCTTTGAAATTGCTGGGCTGGGTTTAGTTTTAGCTGTTACCCGCGGTCTCTTGCCAGCTCGCGCAGAGTCTGACGCGGGCTAACTACACTACTAGATAGCATGCGATACACGCCCTGCGTTGCATCTTCTGGTGCCTCCGAGGTACGCAGAGCACGCGGATCGATCATGCCGTAGTAAGCCGTTGTGTATTTGCATATTGGCTTTTTCGCGCTCTAGCTTTGCAACGGAGCGGTTTCAGCGAAAACCACACATTTTCTGACCTTCATTGCCCGTTCAGTAGGTGGTATCCTTTGTGAGACGAACGAACACTCGAGAAGTGAGATGACGAGTAGCACAGACAGACAGACCTGCGTCTTACTATTGGGGGCGGGGGGGGATATGCATATGCATAATACAATGTTACCCTAGCAACCATATGACATCCCTTTGTAGAGTCATTCTTCCCTAATAAACACTAAAGAGCCTACCCCACTATGCTAGGGCAAGATATACCTAAAAGCAGCTCCTAATAGGTGCTTGGAAAAGAGTAGGGCCCCTCATAATTACCCTCGGCGCGCATGCGCAGCGAGGGTACAGTAGTTGGGGGTCTGTCTGTTTGTCTGTCTGTTTGTCTGTTACTCTACATCTCACTCCTCGAACGTCTGTTCGTCCCAGAAACGATACCATCTACCCAACGGGGGACGAAGGTCAGAACATAAAGGCGGTTTTCCCTGAAAATGCAAAGCTAGAGCACGAAAAAGCAAATATGCAAATACACAACGGCTTACCGCTGTCGGATCGATCCGCGTGATCTGCGTACTTCGGTTGTTTTTGTTGTTGTTGTTTTTTTGTTGTTGTATTTTGTCTATTTGTTTGTTTGTTCTTTGTTTTTGTTTTTTTTTGTTTTTTTTCTTGTCTATTGTATCGTTTACTTCAGAAAAAACGAGAAAAAAAAAACTAAAAAAAAAGAAAAAAGAAGATGCAACGCAGGGCGTGTATCGCCTCTCGCATGCTATCTAGTAGTGTAGTTAGCCCGCGTCAGACTCTGCGCGAGCTGGCAAGAGACCACGAGTAACAGCGAAAACTAAACCCAGCCCATCAATTAGTGGTACAGCGCATGCGTTTACTTACGCGTGCGCGTCACAGTGCGCCGAGGGTTTGCACTTCAGTGCTTTTCATGAAGTTGCTCACATTACAAAAACCAGCCCTTCCCTGCATCAAGTCAAATTGAAAAGGGGGGTGAAGGCTAGTAAGTATAGAGCACAATGATAAGCAGGACTCTGGAAAACACTCCAGAAGAAAGTGGTATGCACACTGGCATAATACCCACTTCCTTCCACAATGTCCCCCAGCATCTTCTGCTCAGTACACTCTGGTGACTGTCTAGACAAACTAGCACTGCTGGAAGGTGCTTCAGCAAAACATCAAAACCAAACAAAACAGCACAGGTATAAACATGAATTTATAAACTTTGCCTTCTGTTAGCAGAAAGTTGCGAACACAAATGGTAGCAACTTCCTCCTGAATGACACAGAACCGGCAAATTAAATTTTTACTCTGTTATGCTGGTAGTAGTGCGGAGAAACTTCCAGCAAACAGTTGGAGACAGAGTCACACACTGTGCTGACCCGCCAGTGCTATAGTGCAACATGCATGGTACGTTTCGGGCTGAATAATGGGAAATCTTATTTTTGCATAAACTTCTCGTTTTCTGTTTGCTCTACTAATAACAAACCTTAAACACAATGGGCAGAGCATCATACGAAGTAATGAAAAGAAAAATGGTTGCCATGTTACCATTAGCATAATCATAAACAAACAGATATATGAATTTTCTGTAGTAGCAATGTAGATTAGGTCATATGAATGCACAAACCCAATACATGACAAATGTGATATCATCTAAAGCTCATCAATGATGGTCTCTAGACTAACCGAGATCAGACAACTTTTGTTTTATTTCTTCCTAGAATATTTCATGAATTATTTTCGATTTATGACATGACTATCTGGATAACTATGTACTTTCATCAGGGTCAGGGTATTACAAAAATTCATAGGAAATTTTGCCTAGAGAGATGGTCATACATAAGGCCATACATTGGCTACAGAGACAAAATATGGAACAAGGAGCAATAGCATAGCAGAGAAATAAAAAAGAAAAATTCCCATCAGACCCTACATCATCATCGGTCGTAGGTGTGATATCCAAAGTACGGCAATCGGCAAAAGATCATAATGATCAACTGTCCGACTACATGCTTAGATCTAGTCAAAGGAGGATCTGGTCTATATCTTTATTATCCGTCTACCATTCATGATCACTGACGTCTCAGGAGTCTGTCATAATACCGTAGGTCATCGTCTCATGCGAGATCTGCGCGCCTCGACTCAGCGACCTCCGTCGAACTCTCAGCCGCGCGGAACGCCTCTTTTCTCTTCCGCTTACCTTCTCACTGGTGTGCTCAACTCTCGCTGTCTACTCTTAAGCAGATCTCGTGGAATCAGACACGAAAACAACGTCAGAGCTTCCGAAGCAACTGAAGCACGCCTTTCTCTCTCCGTTCGCGGCTAAACACGCAGGCAAGACGTGGTGACGTCACGTAGACGGTTAAAAATTTTACATTACAGCTTGAAGCGCTACAAATCGGCGGGTAGGTGGGTTGCACATGAAAGCTCAGCTACCCATAGGTCCCATGGACATAAAAATGTACCATTGCAAACATCATGGAAAGCGTCGTTCAATGCAAAAACAGCATAAAATATCTCCTTCCAAAAAATTGTTTTGATACAAACAAATTTGGAGGTTTATGCATTGTTGCACTCTACTCAGGTAGGTGAGTGTATTCACATTACACCGCTCTTGCACTGCGGGGCCCCAGTGTGGACCTCACAGAGTCCCCAAACACAGTGTCTCATGCAGTCGTGGTCTACAGATGTGGCAGAGTCACACTGGCCATCTCATCGTGACAAGACACACACTCACCAAACACGGAGCAGCAAATGTAGACACAACAGGTAGACATAGCCTTCTTGCAAGATCTTAGACGAGCCTATAAAATATGCCGCAGAGAGATACGAGGATACAACACAGAAACAAGGGTCACAGGCACAGCATGTGTCGAGAAGATCGAGTTCAGCGCATTCTTTAGCTCCCACACCACCGTCACTAGCGTGGTTGCTGACAGGAAATGCTCAAATACTCTACTTATCTTCCCTGCAACACTCTAGTTCGAGCACACCAGGGCGAGTACAGACAAAAGCTGACTCCATAAACTAGAGCACGGAAAAAAGTGAAGCTGTTGTTGTTGCTCTAG